CTAATCTTCATCATCTCTTGATAGTATTTGATATCTCTCCCTCCCTTTCTCTCTCTCCCTTTCTCTCTCTCTTCCCGTCTCTCTCTCTCTCTCTCTCTCTCTCTCTCTCTCTCTCTCTCTCTCTCTCCAATTAATACCCCTTGATGCTCCTTAAGTAATCACGGAATTCTAATATCTCTGAGTAACTCACTGAATTCTTTCCCCTAATTTAAAGAATTCTAATCTACATTTTAATTTCTTATCTTACAAATTTTTCCCCAATCAATGGACATCACTGTTCACTGGTCTTACATTTGTGTCAGACTCCACGTGCCTAAAACTGAGTTCATCCCCCTCCACCATAAAACTGCTCATTCCCAAAACTAAGTGACACTTCTCAGAAAGTAGTTCATGCTAGAAGAGTAATCCTTGACTCTTATCTTTCTTTATTCATAGTATTTAATAAATCACTAACTTTTTCAAACAATCTCCAAATATTTCTAATTTTTTCCCTTTACTCTCCACATTCAATGCTTACTTCTTAGCTAAGGCTCCCATCATCTCTCACCGGCCTTAATGCTAGATACACAATACTCCCTTGAACACGAGGCCCCTTCCTCCCTCCTCTAACCACCAGTGGTCCGTCCCTAATTCTTATGACTCCCAACAGCATCTGATACTCTTGGTCACTTCCCGTGGCTCAGGGTGATATTTTGATGTCCATGATCCAACTAATCCTGACTTATTTTTCTATTATTCAGCCACTCTTCGCAGTCCCGTTACTGTCTTTCTTTACTACTTGATATGAAAATGTTTCAGTTTCTCACAATGGAATCATGAACTTAGTTCCCTTTACCTTTACACTTTCTGTCCAGATAAAGGCTTGTTCCACTGCCGGGGTATGACTTCCTTGAGTCAAATGTCTTCACTGCCTACCTTATCTCAGTTATGATATTTCATAGAGTACTCGAATACAAGCTATTTATTATTTTTACCTAAGACCTTTTATGTTTTCCCTTTTTCTTAATTTAAACCCTAGGACAATTCACCTGTGCTCATTCAGTCAGGACCTGTCCCTCAGGCCCTCATCAGTCACATTGTCTATCCTGCGATTAAGTGCAAAATAATAAAATAGAATAAATGTAACAATATTCTTGAATAGAATCGCCAGCCTGATCACTCTTTTGCTTTGTGTCAATAGTTAAGTGAAATAAGAGTTACCTGAGCAGAAGCACTTTGATATCTAACCACGTGATCTGGTAAACACGAGAACTATTAAGTGACTGAGTGGTTCTCCTATAATAGAGGATTGCTGGACATTCATGGGGACCATTTCACATACATCTACAAGTCGCCAGCACAAGTTGGCCATGTGGTCCTGGCTGAACAAATCTATACTGGACAAACATGTAAATAAATTTTATACAATAAAGGCAGTAAGATATTTGTGTTTGAAACAGGCAGCAACAAGAGACTCCTACATAAGTAATGTAATTAAGAGCTCTAAACTTTCAGAAGACAAAACAAAGAATCATGGAGCAAATTAAAAGACAAAGAAGGGCATTTTAGACCTCCTGATTGGAATTTTATTTCCTATCTCCTTTGTCGGATATTTCCAAAAACTGTATGTCTCAGAAGCTTTTGTGTGTATTCACACAGCAGTTCCTCAGACAGGGGGAAGCTTCCTGCCGAGCTGACCCTGCCCCGTGCTGCTTTCTGCTTGTTAATTTTACTCCGCATTTTATAGACATCAGTTTACAGGACATTTCTCTAGCGACATCTGAGTTGTGTGCACCTGTGGGCCTCTTTTCCTTTATACACCCAGGATCGCGCCCACTGCCCTGAAGTGTAATCCTCATTCACCAGCTCGTGACCACAGGACAATGTCCCCTCAGTTCACCCTTCATCCCTAGCTCCCAGCATGGCATCTGCAAAATATTGGAAATCCAGTGTGCATTCCAATGAGCACACGAGACAGCGTTTAGTCACTTGCGGTGCTATCACTTACCAGGGCAGAAAACTGTGCATCTCAATTGGCTCTTGCTAGTACTGGATCTTTGTTTCATGATGTCTTTGATTAATTATTGGACATAATTATTTTGCCTTATTAGTGAGGTTGAATTTTGGTTTTCATTTTCTCACTTGAGAAAATGTGTGTTTTTACCCTTGGAACACTGCTATGTGTGTTTTCTTTATTTATGCTGTCCATCCATACAGCTTCATTTTGTGGGGTGTTCAAAGTAGTGACACCTCAGATGTGTTTCTGTTTTTCCTATTTTTCTGCAATTCTTTTACTAATTTTGAGTTATCTGTATTTTCTCAACTTTGACTTGGTTGATAACTGTTCATTATGTTTGGTTTTGTTTTCTATGGGGAGATGCTTTTTAGTATTGTAAATTTCTTAAGCTAAATAACAAATGTTTTATTAATCATATCCATATGTGAGCCCTTAAATCAAGCATCAGGAAAACAGTACACAGGTCAGATATGGTACTTATTCTTCATTATCTAAAAGTCCACTAAGAAAATGACAAAATACACTTATTTATAAGGAGCATCTGTACTTTCCTGAGAAACTTGGGCCATAGGTGTGCTTGAAATTGGTGATCCTGAATCTGCCAGCTAAGATTGAAGGTGAAAGAGGCTGTTGTCTTCAAGAACTGACAAGACTGAACTCTGTATCAGTTTATTTAAAATATCTTCCTCTGATTTAATGATGACACTGATTAAAACTATTTATTTCCTCCTGAGATTGCTTAAACTGTGTGTCATCACAATGTATGTTAAATTTCCAAAGGCCCTTTCTACCCTCCATGACTTTAGCAAAATGAAATTAATTAAAGTGAACAATGTGTGCTTGACTGTGCACAAGTAAAAGGTCACACATTGCAAGAAATTAGGAAAACCTTTCCCCACCACATCCACCTAAGAGTTGCCACTGCTATCCTGAATAGGAACGCGGTCAATCTCCTGACCCTCTCCTGAATGACCTGTCCCAGCATCTGACAGGAAAACCATTTGAAAAAGTATCCAATTTAGTGCACAGGGTGAAAACCTAAGAGAGTTACTGAGTACTTCCTCCCCATGCCCTACCCAGGCTTTACCTCTGCAGAACCTGGTGGCATAAATTAATTCACTCTACATCTGTGAAGCCTCCTCCTCTATGTGTGAGACAGCACCGTGGTGGAGAAGCCCTGCTCTGTGTGCCTGTAAGTGGACTGCACCTCATTTCTGGTAATCCTGCCCCGCAGCAAAGGTTTGGTCCTTACAGTGTGGCTGGAGACGGTGTAAGTGGCTGTGGTCACTTTGTAGAGGATAGTCTGTCCCTCATCACAGAGAAGAAGGTAATTCTGGACTGTCTGATTGGCATGATCAGGGTGCCACTGTACGAAGTGTACAGAGTTTAGAGTTGATGCAAAGCATGAATCTGGCAGCAAACAACGTGCTAGGACATTAGGGGAAATGATTGATTCTATGCCAAGGAAAAGTAACCACAGCCCCGCTGCAGAAACGAACCCCTTGGATAGAGCTCTAGTTTACACTAAGAGGGGCAGATATGTTTTCATGGCATTTGCTGTGGTCTGAGGAGCAAAGTAAGATTTCTCAACAATCTTAAATTTTTTAAACATGTATGACATGAATACTGGATCTGGGCAAGAGGTCTTGTCAAAGATCCTACCTGGGTTATTACAGAAAGGTCCCCAGTACCTGGGTTATTCCAGAAAGGTCCCCAGTACCCAACCCCACTGTTGTGATACACTTCATGGCATTTTTTAGAGCCCGAACCAACCTGCTAAGTAATGCCACTAGGTATTGGGGATTCCACCTCCTATACCATTGATTATAATTTCCTCACCCAAATATGGCCCCCGGTTTATGTCTTTAGGGTGCGATGCCAGGCATATGTTCCCTTTTAATCCTCCGTGCCCAGGGAAGTCTAGCTGTGGTCAAATGGCCTTTGTCACCCTTGAAGTGTAAAGGTTTTCAGGTCTTACTAATGTTCCTTTCTCTCCCTTCCCTTTTACAGGACTAAAAGCTTCATGTGATTTCCTCCAGTCATTGCCCTGCACCCCACTCTCTCCCCACCCCACCTTCTCAAGGGTTACCTAGTGACCCCCTGAAGCTAAAAGACTGCTGGCCCACAAGTCCCGGGGGAACCTCCCAATGTCAACCCAGCTCCCCCTCCCGGTGTCACATGTACTGCTGGGACACAACATGTCAGGGAAGTCCCCTTCATCTCCAGCCCTCAGGAACAACCACGCTTGAAATCCTGGTCTCACCGCTAAGAGGAATTAGTTTGTTAGGCCAGTGACTCTCTCTGCCTTTAAATTCCCTAACTTGTACAATCACAGTTTTTTTCTAAAAGACTATTGGAGTTAATTGGAAATATAAAAGTCTTTACTTTCTATGGGGAGGAAGTGGGAACCCACTTGAGTGTCAATGGGGAGTTGGGAGAATTAACTCAACATGGAATCTAAAAAAATAAAGCCACAAGGCAGGAAGGAAATTGCAGAGAGGTAGGGAAAATTGGGGCCTGTAAATTATTCCATTTGGGTTCACATCCTAGATCCTTCTAAGATTGAGCTTTATGATCTACAGGAAGTTTCTTACTAATACTTAGTCTGCATGTGTCTTCCAAGGTCAGAGCCTGCCTGTTATGGCAACTGGGAGGATGCATACACAGGTTTAGTTCAGCGCCCACAAAAGATAACTATTAATTGTAATGAAGTGTAGAAAATTAAAGGAAGGAAATTATTCTAAATAATACCAGTTACTTCTTTGTAATGTGATAATGGGCAATTTTTGTTTTTAGACTTTCCTGTTATGTGCCAAAACTTTTTAAATGAACACAGGTTTCAAGAAACTGTCAACTTCACACATTTATGGTTACTCATGAGTAACTACTTCCCCACTCTCTTAGGAGAAATAGTTATAATACTATATGCCCAGTGAAGAGCTCTCGCCAGCATTCCCACCCATATTCCCTGATTAACAAGACACAAAGTACACTTTTTCAAAAATGATTGTATCATAAGAATCTTTAATGTTTACTTTTGAGGTTATCCATGAGGGGGTTATATATATGTTGTGATGTGTGACAAGTGCCCACACAGAGACCACACCCGTCCCAATCAGTTCACTCCACATGGAAATGCCTGTGCCCAGCGAGGTCACCGAGCCGGAGGAGTCTTCTCCCTTCTCTTGGTCAGGCCAGCTTTCCTGAGTTCTTCCCAACAGTCCTGGGGCAATCGATCCCAACACACATCATCGGTCCCATACAAAGAATAAGGTGAGAAATTTTACAGTGAACTTTGTAAGTTTAGCACATTTCTGGTACATAAAATATAAATTCAAGAAAGCACAAAAGTGAAAGCACCAACTGAACTTACTTATGAACAGACATGCATAACCCCTAAGCACTACCCGCCAGGCCCCAAATGAATACAACATTGCAGTAAAGGTATAAAAGCATCGTACTGGAAACTTAGCAGGTACACAGGAAATACTGCACTGCAAATTCTGAATATGCCAACGGTCGACCCCACCCTTTGCTCGCCCGGTGAGGGTCGGGAACCATGAATCTGCCTCCAGACTTTTCTAGTCCTCAGAGACACTGTGGCGGGGGCACTGGGCAGGTGGGCGAGCCTCGCGCCGGGCTCTGGCCTCCTCCAGAGCCTCTCTGTATCTGGTAGGCCAGGCCTGGGGGTCTTTCTTAAAGACCCTGGCCAGGAACTGCATGATTTGCATCTTGGTGATCTCCTGTCTGGCTCTGGAGCCCCAGAAGAACTCGAACTCAGGAGGCTCCATGTAGGGGATGCGCCTGTACTTCAGGTAATTCTGCTGGACGAACTCCTGGGTGATGAGCCTCCTCACGTCGCTGAAGGTGGAATGCTTCTTCCAGGGGCGCAGCCCCAGGATGCGCAGGACGTTCCACACGGCGCTCTCCCTGGCTCCGTGGCCCTTCACGTAGATGAGGCTGAGGATCATGAGCAGCAGGCCCGTCATGGGCATGGGGTTGCCCAGCGCCATTCTGTCCAGTTCCTCAGGAGTCAGGGCTTTGACCAGCGCGAACTCCATGGTGTGCAGGCTGACCAGCCTCAGGTGCAGCCCGAACACCCTGGCCAGGATGAGGCTGGTGCGTCTGAGGATGCTTCTGCACCACTTCTTGTAGCTGCCAATGACATCTTTCATCATGTCTGGAAACCAGATGACCATCTTGTTCTGGTCTCTGACCAGCACGTACCACATGAGCTCGTGCGCCTTCTGCACCAGCTGGGCCGGAGCTGGCGCCGCGGGCCCGGGCTGGGGTCTGCTGGGGGGCTGGCAGACCAAGCCCTCCTCCGCGGCCTGCTGCAGGACCTTCGGGTCCACTTCCTCCATCCCGGCCTGGGGCGGCGGCGAAGCCGACGGGCCTGCGGAAGGGCTCGGGGGCAGCGCGAGGGGCGCGGCTGGTGGAGAGGCTGGCAGGGGGACCCCCACAGGGCCCTCGTGGCTGCTGGACGCCCCGGGGCTGGGGGCGTTGCCTGCAAAGTTGGGGTCGCTCAGATCCTTACTTTGCTCGGACATCTCTGCGCCGTCTGACCAGGGCAGGGCCTCGGTGTCCTGGAGCTCCGGGAGCGGGTGCGCGCAGTACGACTCCTGGAGAGGAAGTGCGAGGCGCTCAGCGCTGCGCCTTCCGCAGAGTCGGGCGGGGTGGCGCGAGGCAGACTGCGCCTGCGCGTCCGCGAGTCTAGCAGGCTGCCTGAGGAGGGCGGGGCCGCGCTCCGGAGGGTCTGCAGGAGCAGGAGCTGGGCCTGTGGGCTGCAGGAGCTGGACTGAGTGGACTTAAAAAGAGTAGGGAGCTGGGGGCGGCCTCTGCGGGTGGGGCATGTTTAAAGGGTCAACATGCCCACTCAAGTTTTTGACCTGGTGAGGTCTAGTGTTAGGAAATCCTCACCAGCATGCAGCCAGGATCAAGCCAGGACTCAAACTCCAACGGAAAAGTATTTGCAAACTTGGGTTTCCTATGAGAAAAACAGATGAGGTTGCTCAAGACAATGCTGCACTGTGCAGATTGGAATGTTGAGAAATACCAATAAAAAAGCGATACCAATAAAAAAAGCCAGAAGAGAATGGGTGTTTATGAATTTAAGGGGAATGCGGAAGGTAGTTGTGAAAATCTCTTCTGGAGCCCCAGGAAACTTGAACTTCCTTGGAATTCACAGGCTTATCAGGGGAGCTTTAAAGAAAAGACTGAGCCCTAATAACTACATATTTATAGGGAAGAAGCTATTTCGGTAATGTATACAAAGTTCCTATCGGCATGTCCACCGCCTCAAACATAAATTATTTCTTTGTGTTAGGATAACTTCAAAATCCTTTATCTGTCAAAATACACCACAAATTATTTTTAACTATAGTCATGTCACTAGTGTCTAGGGGCACTAGAAATTAATTACTCCTCCTAATTATTTTAGTACTCAATTAGTAAATTCTCTCTGCTCCCCCTCTGAATTAACCTTTCCAACCTCGGGCTACCAATATTGCCTTCCCCACTTCTGTGAGATTAGTTTACTTAGTTTTCACAGATGAGTGGAATTCTGAAATACTTGTCTCCCTATACCTGGCTTTTTCCACTTGATATAACATCCTCAGGGTCATCCATTTTGTCAAAAATTGCATTATTCTTTTTTATGGCTGAATACTAGTCATGGATAGATTACTCCATAACTTAGGTTAATTCATGTGTGTTTTCACTGTGATTTTCTACTTACTTTGGGCCACTTGAGCTTGGTTTTACTTGTCCATTGATCCTGTAAGATATAGATTACCTGCACAAGGATATGATAATGCCTCTTTTCTTGTTTGTGCTGATCCACTCTGTGGAAACAGAGCTTCTTCTTACAGAATCTGTTTTTTTCTCTTTTGGTCTGTAACTGCCATGTAGCAAACACACCCCTATACTTCCTAAGATGTTTTTTAAACATAGGACCCACTGATAACATTTAGCAACTCTCTTAGATGAATGAAAAAATGCTTGAAATGCTACCTATTGGTGACTGTCTTTCCTAATTGTGGATAATAGATCTCCAGCAAGCACAGGTACGGTCCTGCACACCACCCACAGAAAGGAGCTCTTGTCCATAATTCAAAGAGGAGGAGAAAGATAAGGAATTAAAGAAAGAAGAAAACATGGAAGAAGACTGGCAGAAAGAAGAGGAGGAGGAAAGGAGAAGGAGAGATGGAAAAGGAAGAGAAACCCATTTCCAGAATCAGGGATCTTGAAGTTAAACAGCCTCCCTTGTCTGAGTGATGACTTTGTTCTTAAGTTTCCAAAATTCCATATCTTCTCGAAAGTGCTGTCTAGAGTCTGTATCAGACCCAAAAAGCAGTTTAAATATTGCCTTGTTGTTTCTGGAATCTTCAATGTATTTGTTAATATGCATTGTGAATTCCATATCAGAAATGCCTGGGCAAGAATTATTTTGAATTTCTGATTTTTTTCAGATTTTGGCATGTGTACAGATGCATAGTACACCGATGTAAGCATGAGATGGCTTTGTGTTGCACGCGTATCTCACACACAGCCTGAACCTTGTACATTTTCTGTGTACTTGGACTGTGATCTAGGGTGTGAGTTCATGTGTGGAATTTTCCATTCATTATATTGTTTAGATAATGAAAAACTTTTAGATTTTGGAGCACTTATAATTTCAGATTTTTGGACCAGGGAAGCTCAAGTTTTTTCTCTTTTAAATTTCTCACTTACCTTTTCCTCATATTGGTTTATTTGAAAAGTTTTCATGTTGCCTCATCGGGTTTGTTCCCGTGTGTCAGCTGTAGAAATCCCTTCCCTACAGCAGCCAGCCCCTCCGAGGAGACTTCACTGGAAAGGTCCCCCCATTTCACCAGGAAAGGTCTTGGATAATTTTCAGATTTGTCTCCAATTGGATGCATTTCCCCTCCTTCTCCACTTTTCTCTCTTCCTCCATGTTTTATTTCCTTCTCTTTATCCTCTTCTCTCATTTACTGACATCTGCAAGTCTCTGAGAACACTTTACCGAGCTGTGTAAATCGTAGTCTTTTTTATTTCTAAAATTTTTTTTTATCGGTACTGGGGATCGAACTTGCGACTACACACTTGCAAGGCAGGCGCTTATGCCGCTGAATAAATTCCCAGCCCCTCTAAAATTCTTTAATTAACACATTTGCAATACACCAGGGATACATAGTCATGGGAAGTTAGGGCACATAAGTATCCTGAACCCTTCCTGCCTCCCCTTCTCCTCCCTCCATCCCTAGATCCCCTTTCCATTTCAGAAATGCCCTCCTCCCTGTTCCCGATCATTGTCTTTTATTTTGCTCTTTAAATTATTTATGTTTTGGACCAGGTGCAGCGGTGCATACCTACAATCCCAGCACTTTGGGAGACTAGGATTGGAGAATTGTCTTGAATTCAAGGCCAGCCTGGGCAACATAGTGAGACCCATTTCCCAAAAACAGCAAAAAAACCTTTATATTTTGGGTTTCTTACACAGCAGAAACCATGACAGTTAAGCTTCTGAGTCTGACAGGTGTCACTTAGCTTTAGGGTCCCAGGTGTACCCATTTTCCTACAAGTGACTCAGGTTTATCCAGCGTTAATATTCCCTTTTTAAAAGGAGGCCTCTTAATCAGGCTTGTCTTCATGCTCCTTCAATATAATCCTCAGTTTTGTATTTCTATCTCCATACATTATCTTCTCCTTTATGTGATTTGCGTGTCTATTCTTTTCTAAATATTGTAATGAATTATTTAATTCATTAAACATATTTTTAATAATGAAAATACTCAAACCTACTGTTTCAGGCTCAGCTCAGCTCTGGCATGGGCTGTGCATTTTGATGGCGTGACGTTGTTAAAATTGCGTCCCTGGGCCTGGGAGTACAGCTCAGTGGTAGGACAGCTGCCCCATCCCCTGAGACAAAACACCCTCACATCGCACCCTCCTAGACTTAATGGGTTCCGGAATTAAATCTCAAGTATGAGTTGCAACAGTTGTAAAGATTGTCTCCTCCTGAAGTGGGATGCCAGCCTCCAGCTAAAGAACCACTTCTTGGGCTTCAGATGTGTCTGGGCTGAGCTGCACTGCTGGATTCCTGTCTGGGCCTCATGTTGGAGAACTTGCCACTTATACAGCAGATACCACCCCTGCTCCCCTTTCAAATCATTTCACTTTTGACAGAAGGGTTGCCTAGTACTGTGTCATTCCTGTAGATTAGGAGTGTATTGAGGTGCTATAGCTGGAGGGCTTAAGGCCTCGGGTCTGAGATTCAAACCAAGCCCAGGGTAAACTGTGGTACTTTTTACCTGTGTAGCCCATGTGGCACCTTCTTTTCTCCAGGCAAGTTTTCATGGTGAAATTCATTCTTCCATCCAAGTAGAAATATAATAACTATGGAGGTGCTGGCCAGAGGTATGCAAGAGATGGACAAGCAGAGGTAAAGGACTTTTGAATTCACAGGCCCAAAACCTCATGAAAGAATACTCCTGAACAGAGAGAGGAACAAAAGAAGTTAATTTCTAGTTCTGTCTAAGGGTAAAAAGGCTGAAAAATTTGTATTAAACATTTACATTTATTCTTTGAGAGTCTGAGGGCCAATGCTTTTAAGAAGCTGGCCTGGAGATAAGTGAATTCCAGTTCCATTCTGGAGGAATCCAGAGAGGAGAAAACTCACCATCATGGAAGCCTGGTCCCAGAAAGTGGCACCAACAGACAAAAAACTGTCCTGGAGTGTGAAGAACCAAATCCCATCCGCCTCAAGGGCAGAAAGACAACCAAGACCAAAAGCTTTTTTCAGCTTGGGTCTCTAGTCCTTACCCCAACACCCCTTCAGAGTCAAAAGCTACAATGAGCATCAACCAGATGGCAATCAGAAAATGACCAGAGGACTTGGACGGCTGTCTTCTCCCTTTATTGAAAAAGAGCAAGAGGGAAGGAAATCATAGCACAGCTTGGAAATGCCCCCGAACTTTCTAGCTCTGGACTCGTATGTGTATGCATGAGCTTCTGTAAAATATACTCATGGGGGTTCTTTTTTTCTTGATAAATTTGTCCCAGTTTGGCATAAATTTCTGGTTTGACTTTTGTTGTCTTTAGCTTTCTCTGTTTTCTAAATTTTTTCTTTTTCTTCTCCTATTTTTTTTTCTACTTTTTAAAACACGTCCAATTGGCATATGGTATTATAGTTTTAGGGCACCTCCCAATTCCCTTTGTCTCCTAGAGGTTCAGAGGAGAAGAGAGCAGCTGGGGGAGGAGGAGAAAGCTATTTTAGTGGGATTTCCTTTGTCTGAGTAAATCAAATAGAAACCCTGCAAAGATACCAGATAGCTGGGCACTCAGCCTTTAAGGACCTGATGACTGTCAATATTTGGCCCACATATTCCCAGTTCTCTATACCTCCATGGCGTCCTCCAAAGAAAGCCAAGAACATTGTTGTTCATTAATTATCAATGACTTACTTAGTTGAGGCTCAGAAACTTTACATCCAGATGTTTTGGGAAGATACTGTAAGTGTTCCCTCTTTGGATAAAGCTTGATCCATACCATACAAGAGACTGTGACAGAGCAGAAAGAAAAACAAATGAACTATCCCTAATGGTTGGACAGATAAAAGAGCTGTGGATAAAAAGCCTAACCGGCTCCCTCCCCAAGCTGTGCCA